CAACCCTGTCCTTCCTGTCACAACACACTCAGAGATAGCCGCCGTGCGAGGCCAGGCCTCCCGGGGCAGGGAGAGCACTGGCCGGGCCGGCGGGATCTCACTGGAGCCCAGTCCCGCGGAGATGCTGAGATGAGGGCCACACTGAGGACAGAAGCTGCTGCAGGCGGGTGCACCCCAGTTCCCTGCAGGCCACTGGGTCGGTGCTGGGCAGGACAAACCTGGGTGTCCGGGTGGGAGGGCTGGCTGGAGAAGCAGGGACGGGCCCCTGGACACAGAAGCCGCACGGACCTGTACCCGGCCTGGAGCCCCAGGGGAGGGAAGCGGAAGACAATCGTCCCGTTGGGTGCTGGCAGACTTCTGCAGACCCGGGGCCTGAGATATCACACACCGGTTCGGGCACAGTTCGGGTGACCTGAATTCCCAGACAGGAGCTGGCACAGGGCAAAGGTGCCCCGGTACCCTGGGTCCTTCCTCGTCCTGCCTGGCGTCGGTGGTGCCAGCAGCCCTGAAGGCTGTCACTCTGACCCCCGTCTCTGTGGTCACACAGCTTCCTCTGTGTGTGTCTGTCTACTTCCTGTGAGAACCAGTCACAGTGGAACGCAGGACCCCTCTGCGAGGATAACCCTGTTCCCAGCAAGGTGACTTCCAGGCTCTGCAGGTGGGGCCTCTCCGGCTTTTACTCCTTCTTTTAACTTTTGTTCGTTGGGGTTTTCTGAGACAGAATCTTGTTATGTAGCTCAGGCTGGCTTCAGACTTTCAGCAATCCCCCTGCCTCGGCCTCCTGAGTGCTGGAGGACAGGCGTGTGCCACCGTGCCTGCGAGTTTTCTGTTATATTTATTGCAAAAGATTAAGTATCTTTTTTATACTGTGGAAAAATTCCCATAAAATAAAAGTTACCACCTTAACTTTTTTCATGCATACATCTTAGTATGCCCAAGCCCATTCCCAGTGTTGTGTGACTGTCATCCATTCCCGGAACACTGAAACTCTGCCCCCATTACGCAGAGTCCTCCCCCAACTGCCCCAGGTTTTGGTAACCCTATTCAACTTTTTGTCTCTGAATTTGATGGCACTGAGTCTCTCAGACAAGCTGCCTGTCCTTTTGTGTGTGGATTTTTCACTTAGCATGCTGTCCCTAACGTGTGTTCACATAAAAGCACATGTGAGAATCTTCTTCCTTTTCATGGCTATATAATATTTCATCTACATATATTTCTGAGGGATACAACTCAACCCAGAATGAGGATTAGGACTGACTCTCAGTAATCCCAACATTGAGGACATAGCTATGAGGAGGAACCGAGAAGAGGATTGTGGAGGAGCAGGGCTGAGGGCAGGGGGCACCAAGGCAGTGGGTGGTGGTAGCAAGGAGGGAGGCATGGCCATTGCCAAGGACCGCATGGACCAGGGAGGGGAGGATGGGGGCTGACCACTAGGGTCCCAGAGAGCACAAGGGTCATTGGTGACCTGGGTGTTGGGGGAGCACAGGGCGTGCAGAGGGTCCTGGGAGAATCCGATGGGAAGATGCAGGTGCCACAGGTGCAGGAGGCTGATATGATGGGGTGGCCCAAGGGAGATGCACAGTCTGCACCCCACCAGGAGGGAGAATCAATGGCACAAAGCAGAGGGAGGGGCTAGAATGTGTCCCGAGGGAGTGGGCTCATCTGGTGTCCCTGCAGTGATGGCTCAGGCCCGGGCGCCCATCTCTAGAAACAGCAGGGGCAGAGGGGTCAGCGCAGGAGCTGGGGCAGGCAGCGGTCACAGGCCCTCGACCTTCTCCTTGTCTCTGTCCCTGTGAAACAGGAAGCAGGGTCATCAGGTGAGGGTTGAGAGGTGAACAGGAAGCACAGAAAGGTACCCGGCCGTTCGGGCATGGTGGTCCTTGACTATAATCCCAGCACTTAGGAGGCCGAGGCAGGAGATCACCTCCAGTTTGAACCTAGCCTGGAGTGAGCTGAAGGCCAGCCTGCACTGCAAAGCCCTGTCTCAAAGGGTACCCATGCCAGGATCGCCTTCAGGACACACCTCTCTGTGGGACACACTCGTCCCACCCTTCTCCCCACTTTCTGCAGTGGTCCTGGAATCTCCTTTTGTGAGCATCTTTAGTTGCATGGTTGTGGCGGCCTGGATGTTCTGAATTCATTCAAAATGTCTCCCTTTTCTGCTCATTTTGGTTTTGAGAAGGAGCCAGAAGAACCACAGTGCCGGATCCGGTGAATAAGGGGGAAGAGGACACCGGCATGTTGTTACGCGTTGCCTTTCTGTTGGATGGCGCTCAGCAGCCGCATTCACCATATATGTGTATTTATCAGATCTGGTGAAGACATTCAGAAAGAGGACTCCAGATCTGCTTCGGAGAGTGGTAGGAACCACCGGATAAGCGTGTTGGCAGGGAAGGGGTCTTCTCAAAGGGGCACTGTGTCTTTTAATGGCAGTGTGTCTGTCTCTGTAATAAGGTTTTAAAAGCAAAACTTCACTCTGGATGTGGATCACAATGTGTAAGTTTTTATGTTTCATTTTTTGGAAGTAGAGATTTTAAAGCCTGGTACTTTGGTTGAGGTGTTTGTGCCATCCCCAAAATTCAGATGTGGGAACCTGAGCCCCCCAAGGTGATGCTATGAGAAGATGGGGGGCTGTGGAGGTGATGAGGGAATGATGGGGCCCCCATACACATATTAGTGCCCTGATAAAAGAGGCCACCACACGGAGCTTGCTTATCATTCTATCCTAAAGGGATCCAGAGAGAAGGTGCCATCAGTGGCCCCAAAGCAGGCCCTGACCAGACAGTGAATCTGCCAGCACCTTCCCAGATTCCAGAACCAAGAGAATTAAATGTCTGCTTTTCTTTTTTTTTTAGACAGTCTCCCTGTGTAGTTCAGACTGGCCTTGAACTCACTGGCCTCAAACCCCCAGCAATCCTCCTGTCTCAGCCTCCCAAGTGTTGGGATTCCAGGTCTGTGCCACCACACTTGGTTTCAGTGTCTGTTGTCACAGACTGCCCAGTTTATGATATTTGTGGCGGCAGCCTGAACAGATTATGACAGAAGTGATACAATATCCCTTAGATCCTAGAACCCATGAGTTTGACCCCAAAGCCTGCCCACTAAACACTGCTCTAGAGCTGGAGATTTAGCTCAAAGGCATAAGCATCTGCCTGGCAAGCAGGGGTCATGAGCTTGATCCCTGGTACCAAGAAAAAAACCCAAAAAACAAAAAACATGCTGATCTGAATCAAAAAGGAAGCCTGGAATTCTATTTTATCAATGTTAAATTATATCTTTTTCATGTGCAAAAAAATATTTATATCAGAAATTTTGGAAGATTCAAAGGAACAAAAAATTTCAGGGCTTATGATTTTGCCACCCAGAAACAATACTGTTAAATTGTGATGACTTCTTCATGGTGTGGTTTTGCACACCCATAATCCCCGGTGAGTAAGTGCTGGGTGTGTTCAGCCAATCCTTCCCTGTCCAAAGGCACATAGCTAGACTCTATTTCCCAGCCTTCCCTGCAGGCTGGCTGTCACATGACTGAGTTCTGACCAATGGGATGTAAAAGAATGACATCACCTACTCCCAGAATATGGGCTATAAAATCTCTTGCCCATCTCATGTGTGCCGTCTTTTCCTGATGCTCTGCACATGACGAGGACCCAATAAAGAGCACTGAGACCCCCCCATTGAACAGCCAGTCAGTAGTAGAGGGACCTGGGTCCCCAAATACCCAGAGGTGTGGACCCTTCCCAGAAGGAGAAATTCATGTGCACTCTGTTAAGCCACTGAACTCTGGGAGTTGTCAACACCATTTCCCTTACACAGCAGTGTCACATAAACACTGGGGTCACCCTCTGGGGATACATTTTTTAGGGTACACCTGAGTGATCAAGGCTATTCAGGGCCACCCAATTTATCATTACCCTTACTACTGCTTGGCATTATTACCTCCTCTTTACCATATTTCTCAAACTCCACTTTTAAAATTGTCTGTTACCGCGGGTTGGACCCAGGGAGCCTGCCTTCAGCTGCCACCCCAGCCCTGTAACTTTATTTACTTAGAGTCAGGGTCTGGCTAAGTTGCCCAGGATGGGCTGGAACTCTCAGTTCTCCTGCCTCAGCCTCCCAGAGTGCTAGGATTATACCACGTGCCTCCAAGTCTGGCTTAGCCTGCTCCTGACCGAGTGATAACCGGTCATAATTATTTACCTACTGAGCCTAAGAGCTTAGGCCTGTAAGATGCCTTCTTCAGCAGCGAACTCCTTGGGAAGGACGGGCCACCTTGCCTTGGCTCCCACCTGGGCCGTTCTTCCCTCCCTGTCAAATGGGACACCCTCATTCCCTGGAGACCAAGGGGGAAAATGGGGATACGGGGTGAAATGTGCACTCAGACTTGTCACACAGAAACCCCTGCCTTTTCTAAAACTGAGCTTACTTCATGCTTGTGCTTGTGTCCCTGCGTGTGCCGAGGTGAGGGGACGGGGCTGCAGGCAGCCTCCTTAGGGGAGCACCCTCACTGTCTCGAAGCCCTGACCCCTCCAGGGTGGCTTCTCTGCACCCCAGGGCACACAAGACCTTTCCAGCTACACGGAGAAGCGTATGTGGCCGGGGGGCACCAGGGAGAGGCTCTAGTCCTGTCTGCTGTCACTGTGCCTGCTGAGGGCTCGGGGTCACTCTCTGATGCTGACCTGGGCCTGCTGTGCCCCAAACTGGAGCCGGGACTCTTCTCAGTTGTGTTCTCGCAGTAGCTGCGGTTACCAAGAGCCACATGCTGGGCGCTGGTGCAACAGGGCACTATTCTGTTGGGGCTCAGGAGGCCGAAAGTCCAAAGTCAGGGCCCGCAGAAGCCCCTGCGGGAGGACCCTTCTGTCTCCCCCAGCTTCTGGTGTCTCGGGGTTCAGAGCCACCTCACTCTGATCTCTGTCTCCATCTGTTCCTCTTTGTGCAGCTGCCACAGCCTCTCCCCGCCCCCCCCCCCCTTCTCCAGCCGGCATGGAACCCAAGGCCTTCGTGCTGAGCTGCATCCCCAGCCCTTTTTATTTTTAAGACAGGGTCTCACTAAGTCACTAAGTGGCTGGTGTTGGGCTTGCACTTGCGATCCTCCTGCCTCAGCCTTCCAGAGTGCTGGAATTGTAGACAGGCCTGCACCACCATGCCTGGCTTCTTTCTCTTCTATGAAGCCCCAAGCTGCGGGGGATCCTGGTCTGCCCTCACCACCTCATGCTGACAGTTTATCTGCAGAATCCATTTTCCAAACAAGCCCATTCCTAGTCACTGGAGGTCACCGCTCCAATGTCTCTTTGTGTGTGTGTGTGTGTGTGTGTGTGTGTGTGTGTGTGTGTGTGTGTGTGTAGGGGTGCAATTCAACCCCTAAACCATCCCTGGGTCCCCTGCGCTGTCCTGGGCCCTGTGGCCACAGCTCCCCGCCGGTGCAGTTGTGCAGTGGTGCAGTCGATGCCTCCCTAACTCTGCGGTCCAGATGTGGCCCGCCCACTGCTCCAGGGGCAAAAAGCCTCGTGGTTTGCATTTCATGGTGGTGGGAGCCTAGAAAGAGAGAAATGCACCGAATTAGTCAAAGGGAAAACAGAGCCGGAAATGTTTCCAAAATTCCACGCCTGTTAAAGTGCTTGTGATGTGGAGCCCCGTTTGCCGAGCAGATGAGAATTGGGGTCCCCTCCTCGGGCTCTGAACAGGCGCAGTGACCCCCCAGCCGTAGTCGTACCCACCCCACCCAGCCAGTACTCCGGGACCCTCCTCTTACCTGGACTCCTGGCGTAGGCCGCTCCCAGGCGACTTCCCTTCCGGGAAGTGTCCCAGGAGTTCCAGCCGGGTGACCCACGCGGGTCACATTTCCGCCTGCGAGGCTCTGCATTGCACGGGGGCCACGCCCGTGCTGTTCCCACTGAGGTCCCGTGTGCAGACGCTGGACGAAGGAGGAAACTCGGGGAGAACAACAAACCTCGTTTTGCGTTGGGTTGAATCCCAGGAAAGAGGCGGTATTCAGCTGTCAGTGCTGCAGAAATTAGCACTGCCTGCCCGGGTGGGGGCACACCCAGGCTCCTGCTTTGCAGGCCCCTACCCTTTAGCCACGGGCGCTGGTGTGCAGGAAGGGAGGCCGCTGTCTCCTGCAGTCTAAGCCTGCTGCCCGCTTCTTCTGGGCCACCTGCCCTCCCAACCCGCAGATTTTGCATCGGTGCGCGTGCACGTGAGTGCGTGTGATAAAATAGCTCCCAAGGTCGTGCCAGCTCCTCTGCAAGTTCTCTGCGCCCGGTGAGCAACCTCCGCGTGTCTCGCATCTTCTCTTGGAGCAGCTCAGAGCTGACTGCAGCTGGAGCGGGGCAGAGCAGCCGTGACAGCCACGACCAGGCAGGGCCTGGCATACTGCAGTCGCTCCATTAATGCTCGCGCGGGCATGGAGAGGAGATGGGGTTGAGGATACAGCTCTGCTATTCAGTGGCTCGCAGATCCGGGGCAGGTTATGCTCTCTGGGCCTTAGTTTCCTCATCGAGGAAACCACCCGGCCAGGGAGATGGAGGCGATCGAGGAGGCTGAGGTCTGCTCAGCCTGGAGTCGCACCCACGGAGAGGCTTCATGGTGTCCCGAAGCAGTGCTGGCCTCTGAGCCCTGCCGTCTTGCACTGTGGCCTCCCTGTGCTTGGCGGGGATTGCTTGGCACCCGTGGTCCCATCTCCCTCTGCCCCAGCCCTGCAGCAGCTCCGTGGCCCTGGCTGCACCCAGCTCCTCCTAGAGCGTCCCAGGCCCTGGAGTCCGCTGCACCCAGTGCATTTCAGCCTTAGCACAATCCCACCCCAGGTCTTCATCCAAAAGGGACACTGGCTGCTGCGGTCCCCAGCCCTGCACGTTTCCCAAGGTCCCCGCTCCTCTTCCTGTCTACCTGGGATGCCCGTGAGTCCCCAACCATATCTGTCAGAGGACTCTGATCATGGATGGCAGCTATCAAAAACACACATGAACGTGGTGCTTGGTGCCACACACCTGGCATGCCAGCACTCAGGAGGCTGAGGCGGGAGGATCGCCAAGAGTTCTAGGTCTGCCAGGGCTACATAGTGACTTCAAGACCAGCCCCAACTGCATATTGAGATCCTGTCTGAAAAAACTAAACCATAGGCGGGCTGCACATGATGATATTTTACTAAGTGCAGTAAATAAGTCTCTGAAGGACGCCTGCCCATCTACATGTCCTTAGAATAGTCCAGAGGAGCGGGGGTGACCCGGGCTGCAGGCAGGGACAGGAGTGAGTGTTTGGTATGGACAGAATTTTAGATCTGGAACTTGAAAAGGTTTCCCAGCGGCTGGTTGGTGGCGATGGTGGCAGAACCTTAGGGATGCATGTGTCACTTAACTGCATGCTTAAAATGCTTACAGTGATAGCCGGTGTGGTGATGCACACCTGAAATCCCAGCACTTGGGAGGCTGTGGCAGGAGGATGGCTGCAAATTTGAGACCAGCCTGGGTGACAAAGTGAGCTCAAGATCAGCCTGGACTGCATGGTGAGACCCTGTGTCAAAAAAGAAAGAAAGGAAGGAAGGGAGGAAGGAAGAAAGAAAGAAAGAAAGAAGAAAAAGAAAAACGATGTTTACAGTGGTAAATTTGGAGTATTTTGTAAGAAAAACATTTCTTTTTGGCAGCACCAGGACTAAACCCAGGGCCTCTGCACTGAGCTACATCCCCGGCCCCTTCTGTTCATTGTTTCAAAAAGGGTTTGCTACGTCTCTAAATTGCCTATACTGAGCTCAAAATTGTTATCCTCCTGCTTCAGCCTCCTAGAATGTTGGGATTACAGGCAGGTGCCACCACACCCAGCGTTGTATTTTGCAGTTGTGGAGAACAACACTAACCACAAACCTTTGACCACTGCCTCTACCAGCGGCTGCCCTCCAGGTCGCTGGGTCCCGCTGTCCCAGCAGCATCTTCCCCTCCGCCAGCTCCATTTTAAGCTTCTGCTCCAAGAAGGTGACCTCCTGAGTGACGGTGACCTTGGGCAGGCTCCTGCCTCCCCCAGCATCTGCCCCGGGACATTTGCTTGGCCTTTCCCTCCCTGACCTCCTCCTCTCCTTACTGCTGTCCAGCTGCTCACAGGGTCACTGCTTCCACTGCCTTCTCCCTCCTGTGTCCACCTGGCAGAGCCTGGACCCAGTAAGGTCAGTGCCCTGCTTTCTGTGCTTGGTCCCAGCAGGGCAGCCTACTGAATGAAGCCACCACATGAAGCCACCGGCTGCCCAGGACCTTGACCTCCTGCAGCTGCTGGGTGAGCTCTGTCATCCTCTGTCCCCTGGTTGGCTCTCCTCCTCCTACAGCTCCTCCCCGGCTCAGGCTCTGCGGAAGCCTCACCCCAGCCATGACCTTGGGCTGCGTGTGGCAGGCAGTGTGGGACCAGGCACTGGCCTCCCCTTAGTCCCATGCTTGCCTTCTTTTTTTTTGGTACCGGGAATTGAACTCAGGACCTTGAGCTTGCCAGGCAGATGCTGTGCCCCCGAGCTCTATCCCCAGCCCGCTGTATTTCATTCTTACAATAAACATTATTTGCTTTTCTTTCTTCTTTTTTTCTTTTGGATTGCTTTCTGTCTGGGGGGTCTTGTCCCCACCCAGACTGAGCACAAGGCTAGAGGCACCCACCTGCCTCAGCCTCCTCCCTGATCCCACCACACATCCGGCAGGCACCACTTCCAGCTTCCAAGGGTCAGTGAGTTGCCTGCCCACAATGCCCCAGGCCTGTTCTTCCCTGTCAGCAGATGCACCAAGTTCTCGGTTTTCAGGGCCAAACTCCTGGAGTCACCCTGAACTCTGTCTTCCCGACAGGCACATCTGTAATGCCAGCTCTCCTGGCTCAGACTCGGAGACACCTGACTCCCGGCCCCTTCCTGCGGACCTGGGCCCCTGGGCAGTGCTCCTTATCTCTACTGTGAACAGCACCAAAGCGGTTTCCCAGCCAACTCCCCAGCTTGCACCTGCAGACAACTCCTTTAAAATGCAATCCACACAGGAAGTGTGGAACACCTGTAATCCCAGCACTGGGGAGGCTGAGGCAGGAGGGTTGTTGCAAGTTTGGGACCACCCTGGGCTACAAAGTGAGCTCAAGGCCAGCCTGAACTACATAGTGAGACCCTGTCTCAAAAAAGACAAACAAAATAAAACTAAACTAAAATGCAAATCCAACCCTGTCTCGTGTGCCTGCTGTCTTCCCAGGGTCCCCTCAAAGCCCTGCCTGGCCCCATCTTGGCTGAGGTCCCTGGAAAGCAGAGCTGTGTCTGCCTGTTGTGTCCACATCCCCTGGCAGGGTGCCGGGCACCCAGGCCGGTGCCTATTTTGTGAATGCATAAGTGTCAGGCAACTGTGTCTTCCCTGGGAGCCTCCCCCTGGCCCCACCACCTGGGCCTGAGCCTGGTGACTCCCCGTCTGCTAGGAGAGTTGTCTGGGTGATGACCAGGAATGGCTGATTCGGGCTGCCAAGTCTCCCAGCCTGGGGGTTACCCCTGGCAGTCTCTCCTTCCTCTCCCAAAGAGTGAGCAGGCTGAGGGAGAGAGCAGAGACTGTGCCCACCACACCCACCAGGAAATGGCTCTGGGCTGGGTCCCTGAGGCTCTTGCCTTCTGTCTGAGGAAGCTGAGGCCTCCTGTCCAAGCCAGGAGTGGAGACACCAGCCTTGAACTCATGCCTGGTGGGGCTGGAGCCCCAGATTGCCGCCCACCTGGCTTCATTCTTCTGAGGTCCATGCTACAAGGGTAGAGCATGGGGGCGGGACTGGACTGGACTGCTTGGTCCCAGCACTGGACAGGGTCCCCTGCTCTTTTTTTATATCAGTGGGAAAATAAACTCAGAGAGGGGGAGACACTTACTCAAGTTCACACAGCTGGCAAGGGAAGGGGGTTGAGCCCAGGCTGACCCTAGAGGCCAAGGTCTGAATCACGCTTCTGGCACTGTGGGTCTGGAAGCCCCTCCAGAGTCCAGGGGGTATGGGATGCTGGGAGCTGGGGGGCATCAGTGTCAGGTTCCTGCTATGAGGAGGGCCCTTCCTAGGCTCAACCCCTAGTGTAGTGATAACCGGTGGCTTCTGCTGAGAGACAAGTCAGGGCAGGAAGCAGCTTTCCTGGGTGACACATGTGACTGGATTATGGATTATGGGCTTGAAGCTGATTTGCTCTTAGGAGGCAAGGCTTGGAGACGCCAGCCGGAAAAGCCCTGGAATGCTGTACACAGTGCTTATGGGTGATTCTGGTCAGAATTCAGATCAGAACACTGAGAGGAGGGTGGATAGTAAAGGCCAAGCTGAGAAGTTTCAGGGGGAACCAGGACTCCATGGGCAGCTGGACTGGAAATCACGTGTGTTACACTCTGGCAAAAGCTTTGGTGACATTTTGTCCATTTCCTGAGACTTCCCAGCATTAAAGGTAGAGGACTAACAAATCTGGTGAAGGAAATTTCAAGACAGCCCAATATTCAGGCTGTGGCGTGGGTACTGCTGGCAGCTGTTAACAAGATTTAGAATGGGAATCAGGAGCAAAAGTTAGAGCAGAAAAAATTTGAAAAACTTAAATTGTGGCCCAGAAGAATTTTATGCTGAAGAGATTGGCACCATTAAAATAAATCAAAGGGCCAGGCGTGGTACATACCTGTAATCTCATTAGTCAAGAGGCTGAGGCAGGAAGATCACTGTGAGTTCAAGGTCAGCCAGAACTACGCAGTGAGACTCTGTTTCAAAAAATAAACTGGGGCTGGGGATTTAGCTCAGCGACATAAGAGCCTGCCTTGCAAGCACGTGGTCATGAGTTCAATCCCTGGTACTGATTAAAACATAAATAAAAAATTTAAAAAAGAAAATAAATAAATAAACTTTAAAAATAAATTAATTAATTTAATTAAACAAGTACATGGTACAGGAACAAGATGCTAGATGGAATCTCCAAAGTGTGCAGGACCCCATCTGTCCCAGGTTCGAAAGTGGAGATGTATAAATCTTTCACTTGAGAAGCACCCCCTGGGGAATCTGTTCCCTGGGATTCATTTCACTCTGCTCACCCATTCACCACGCAGAGGCTGCAGCTGCCATGCTGCAAGGAGACCTGGCTTCTCTTTCTGCTGACAGGGGACCTTGGTTTCATCCCTGTGATGCTCTGATTTTTTAGGGTTGCAGAATGCAAGAGAGGGGGGATCAGGGAGGCCTCCATCCAAAGTTCAAAGGGAGGCCAGGGAGGCCAGGAAAAAAGTCCCTGAGAAGGCCCAAGGGAACATGGCTAAAGATGCACAGAGAGCCCGGGAGTCAGGTATGCCAGGAACGAGGAGATCTGTGGAGAAAAGCTGCCAGCGGCGGGCACTGCCTTCCCTGGGTGCCTGACGTGGAGCTGCTGGATTCAATGAGCTACATGCTGGGTTTGGGTTTTGCTTTAATCCTGTGTTTTTTCTATCTGCCTATTCTTGCCTTTTAGAATCTTTACTTGTGCCATTTTACCCTGGGATTGTGTAATTTGTTTCTCATTTTTTTACAGAGGTTCACAGCTGAGAGTTTGTCTTAAGTCTCAGAAGAGCCTTTGAATTAGATTTGGAAAGTGCTGGAACCCTTGAGACTGCTGGGAAGGACTGTTGCTTTGGGTTGTAACATAACTGCAGTATCCAGTGTAGTGATGACCTTGTGTACACTTGGGGATTAAGTAGGCTTTGAGGAGCTGTGTTTGGGCACCAGGTTGACAAGGGGTGAAGGTGGCAGTTAAGTCTGATGGTCTTGGGAGTCCCCGAGGGATGAGCACACTTTGGGTGTGTCTGGGTGAGTCACGGAGTTGTGACTCTGGCTGCTACAGCTTCCCTATGAACTGAGCATCTTTGCTGCACCCCATCCTTCCCCACGATGCTTCTGCTTGGAGCGGGCACCATGACTGAGCTCTCTGAAACCATAACTCAATTAAACTTCTCCTCCTTTAAATTGCGAATGTCAGATATTTAGTCCCACAAACGGGAAAGTTGGTGAATACAGAGGAGTCCTGTTCTACTAACCTCCATCTGGCTGGAGCCAGGGTGGGCACTCAGCTGGGTGCCCTGCGGGGTGGCAGCCTTCTCTTGGTGACCACGTCTCTCCTGCACCCAGACCACAGCAGGAAGATTGAAGGCCCTGGGCCCTAGGGGCTGGGCAGTCTCCTGTCTTCATGTGCCCACAGCCAGGGTGAGGGCTACACGCCAGGGGGGCTGCCAGGTTCCCTCACAGAGACACAGGGGTGGGCACAGGGCCTCCCAGAGGGCCCGAGGGGACAACCCAGTGTCCTCGTGGGTCTTCATGACCACAGCTGGAATTCACATGCTCCCCTTGCACCTCACACAAAGGAAATTATTAGCAAAGAAGTACTGTGACGTCACTCACCTGCTTCGCGGAGCGATGGGGGTGCCGAGGATTTGGGGTGTGGGCCAGGCCAGGATCCAGGGGAGGGGGTGGCAGCCAGCAGCGGTCCTCACTCCAGAGCAGCAGGACATCCTGGGCTTGCCAGGGGAGTAGGGATGCCAGGGAGGGAGGACCCCTGGCAGGGGTGGCCCTGGAAAATGTGGGTCACGGAGAGAACAGGGAGGCCCAGCAGGGAGCGGAGCTGGGGGTCTGATGTGCGGCGGGAGGTCGCAGGCTGAGCCACCCTGGAACCTCGTCATCCCTGCCTGCCTGGAAGGCAGTGATGGCAGCCAGGGCCTGGTTCCCACCCGGCAGGAAGCCTTGTCCCTGGGCCACAGCCTGAGGGTGCCCCTTGCTGGTCCGTTTTCCCAGGTGCCCCTGGGCCCTGGGGACCTGGAGCCCTGGGGCCGGGGCGAGGGGGCGGGGAGTGATCTTAGGGGTGGCAGCTGGAGGCGATTCCTCCTGCGTTTTCTCATGGTCTCCTCATTTGTAGGAGCCACTTTATCCCTCTGCTATCCCGAGAATGGTTGCAGCAAAGCAGAGAGACTTCGTGGGCCTTCCGGGTGTGGTGCGCACACTTGCAATCCCAGCACTCGGGAGGCTGAGGTGGGAGAATCGCTGCAAATCTGAGGCCGGCCTGGGCTCCAAGGTGAGCTCAAGAGTGGCCTGGACTACATAGAGACCCTGTCTCAAAATACAATGGGACAGAACAAAAACAAAACACAATAGGACGAGCTACAGAGGCAGAGCAGCATACTCTGAGGTGCTGGTGTATTTTTTTGTAGTTTGATTGACACTTGCTTTGCTCCCTTTACTCAGGTGGGAGGGACCTTGCCGGAGGTGCCTGTGTGACAAGGGGCGGGGTGCAGCCAGCTCATCCCTGGGCTGTTGAGCCTCCTGGTGTGGCTGGGTGCCTGGCCAAAGTCGTCTCACACGAAGCTTATTTATTTATTTTGGTACTGGGACTCGAATTCACGACCTCGTGTGCTTGCCACCGGCAGGCGCTTATGCTGCTGAGTAAATCTCCGGCCCCACTCTCAGGTTTTTAAAAAAATTGAGAGAGGTCCCACTAAGTCACTCATTTGCGCAGACTGGACTTGAATTTGTGACCCTCCTGCCTCAGCCTCCCAGGGTGTTGGGATTACAGATGTGCACCACCTGTCCTGATGTGGAAATCAGGGTGGTCACACAGCTGTGCTAAAACAGAACCACACTGGAACCCGAGAACACACCGGCGCCCCATCCCACCCCGTGTGGTCATAGTGGAGTTCATCTGCATTAAAGGGACCACTGTCCAGTGTGGGGCTTGGGGCTGGGGATGGCACCGCTGGGAATGAGTGCAAGAGGAGCCACCTGGTCCCACGATCCCAGGTCCACACCAGGGCCTCACACTGGAGATGCAGCCAGCTCGCCGCACTGTGTCCGGCTTTCTCTGCCGTAGGTGGGCAGGGCCTGGGAATGTGCATTTCTAAGGGGCTGGGGCAGCGCTGGTGCTGCTGGGGCTGGGGAACTGGAAGTGCCCAAAAGCCTGGGCGTGGGGACTGCACTGGTGAGGTGGCTGCTCCCGGACAGGGTCTCCTCCTGGGCGGGGAAGGGTGGTCCAGGATCTGGAGGGCTCTGCTGTCCTAGGGTGGGGAGAGTGGTGGCCAGCAGCTATGGCCTCCCCCCATGCTCCCTGGGCTCCAGGTGCTGGCCAGTGCAGAGCCCCTAAGGGCACACAGTGAGATTGTTCTCAGTAAAAGACCCTGATGCTGGAGGGGTTAAAAAGGTCTCTTTTTTTTTTGGTGCTGAG